TATAGTGACCTCTGAGACCTGGTCATGTGTTATGATGTATGAAGTAAAAATGTTTGTTCGTACCATCTGTACTATAAATACAATGGCCTAACAGATCTAATCATCTGTTATGGTATTTAAGTTCTAAATATTCGTTTAACCAGTCTGTACTTTGCAATTGCCTCACAAATCTGACCATCTGTAACGTTACTTGAAATACAAGCGTTCGTTCATCCAATCTGTAGTGTATATAGAGTGACTTCACAGATCTGATCATCGGTTATTTTATCTGAAATACGAATGTTTATTCATTCAGTCTTTACTGCATATACAGTGGAGTAACAAGTTTGATCAAATGTCATGTTTTCTGCAAAGTTCGTTCATCCAGGCTGTACAACATGTACAGTGATCTCAAACATCTGGTCATCTGTTATGGTATCTGAAATAAAAATGCTTATTCACAAAGTCTATACTATATAAACGATGGCCTCACAGATTTGATCATGTTTTGTGAATTACAACTGTTTGTTCTGAACTACATACACGGTGGCCTTACGATTTTCATCATCTATTATTTTATCTGAAATAAAAAAAATTATTTTATCCATACTAGGACTAACGCAAAATCAACTTACTTGTACAAAGTAACTCAATAAGCACGATAGCTAACAAAGATAAAAATGCTTCACAAAAACAAAAATTGACTGATTCAATTCTCTGTCATGAAATATCTCTACACACTATCTTCTTGGCCATCTTTCAACTGACTCTACTCTTTATCGATGCTTCACTGCCCTGTATAATCTATTCAACATATTTTAAAACTTTACGTCACATTCTAAGCATTTCCAGGTGTTCTAGGCCTATCTTAACGCCTATCATCAACTAAAATACAGATTACGACATTAAGTATAGAGCTTACAACAATATATACATAAACACGTATCCCAAGAAAGCATCTGACAATTACAGCACTTACTCTCTCTCTCTCTCTCTATATATATATATATACACACATACATATACAATGTATACATACCTACACTATGGAAATATCGATAGTAGTGATTATCGAAAACAAAAAGATCTACCTACCAAACTTTCAGAGGAATTGAGTCGCCAACAGCAAAAACATTTTTATGTCTCGTCTAGTATGTCTTAATCCTTCATAGTACTCAATACATCTCTAGTACAGAGACACTACACGTCTTAACCATTCACACAGGCTCAGTACGTCACTAGTGTACAAATATTTAAGTACTAACCCTTCAAATGGACTCAGTAGAACACAAACACTTATCCTTTAACCCTGTGGTATTCTCAGATTTACTGATTTCACAAAAGTAATCGGGTAGGAACTGCAAGATAACGGGAGGTTCACCAAATAATTTAATGCAAACAATTGGACGTACGTTTGCACACATGAAAACAAACTTTATTCAAACCATTCATTAATTAAGATAAAAGGCGAGTGCAAATGTAGCACTCTTTATTCGAGATAGAAACGTGATGCTATATGCTATTAGAGGTTTTCTAAGGTTTTTGACAAGTTAGAATGATAACATTTATCTAAGAATTAAACATCGTGTTTAAAATTAAGATTAAAAGCTCAAACTTTCTTGTAGACTAAGAAACCATTGCATTATATGCTAACAACAATAACATTATTCTCTACTCTCGTAACTAACTATCAGTATCACTTCAAAGTAAGGAATGTTATATCCCTGGAAAATCCTCTGAACTTTCAGTAGAAAAAGTCACTGTTGCTTTCTATACTCAGAAGAGAAAGCATGTGATGCCCTAGTTAACTGACCCAGTTTTATGAGTAATTAGGGTGAAAGGAACGTATTGTTCCCTCATCTAACTTCTTATGTTAAAAAAATGTGCAACAATTTTGAACAACTTATATATCAACTAAGAGGGTAGAATGTGCAGGATATGCCTACACATGGACTCAGCGCGTCACTAATACACAGACACTTACGTCTTAATCCTTCACATGGATCATTATGTCACTAGTACACAAACATTTATGTCTTAACTTTTTACATGGATCACTATGTCACTAATGCACAGACACTTACGACTTAACGCTTCACATGGAGACAGCACGTTATTAGTACACAGACAATTACGTCTTACACTTTCACACAGATCATTATGTCACTAGTACTTAGACATTTACGTCTTAATCTTTCTCATAAACACTAATGAAATATTGTAATGGTTTATAAGAAAAATGTAAGTATTGTATAAATAAATTGATGTATTTCTAACAGGTACAATTTCGTTTACATGACCACGTTCATTTTGGGAATCACGTCTCTCCTTCCCTGGAATTGTTTTATTATTGCTACTGATGTGAGTATAAAGTTTCCACTGATAATCACTCAGAACTTTGTAAGATGCTGTATGTACCAGGAAGTTTTGTCATATTATGCAACTTTTCAGTATATTTATTCGTAATTAAAGCCTTTTGCCTTAAGATTTATATTATAACAGTTTTTTTTACGCTCTTCATAATATTCTCATTACTTTTCCATTTAACTGAAGTACTGGATGTACAAATTACGAGATGTCTACCATCCAGACCAGAAAACAAGCCTTCAAGCTGCTTTCTCAAGCTACCTGGCGATTTCAGCGAAAGTTCCTTTCGTTGTGTTTCTACTCGTTCACGCTATCATCAGTCATAGGTGCGATCTTTAGTAGCTTAAATTATCATTATTAATATTAAATTATTTTGTATTGTAAATTATATTTTTAGTATCATTCCATATATTAAGAAACGGATAATTTGCGTATATTATACTAAAATATTTGAAAATGTTAAAATAATTAAAATATCTTTTTAACACATAAATATGAAGTTAGTGCTTAAAATTTATTTCCTTGAAATATTACAATTCAATACAAATAATGAACTAACAAATATTTAATTTTCATCCCTAAATTATCGTGCATTAATTATTTGCTGTAAAATGTACTTCATAGATAAATGTGAATTTTAAATTTTAAAACGTGAGATGTTTAAAATGTTTCGATTTAATTGTCTTTTTTTGTGTAACTTACTATTTCAAATAAATAGGTTATATAGAATCACATACACACACTTCTGTCCTACCCTGTATAAACCGTCTTTTGTCATATATATGGTGTATATATCACATATAAAGTTATTTTCTATCATTTATAGGGTATATAACATTATATATTAGATTTATTCAGTCGACTTTGGTGTATAACATTATATATAAGCTGTGTTCTGTCATCTGTAGGGTGTATAACATTGTATATAAGGTGCGTTAAGTCGTATATATGGTGTCCACTGTTATATATAAGCCATGTTCTGTCATCTTAGATAGAGTATATAGCAAAATATAAAAACCGTGTTCTATCATCTATAGAGTGTAT